AGTAAAACTTACTTAAAATGATTTAAGAAACAAGTTATGAAGTTTACTTCTGTATCCAAGTTATCTCCTGAATCTCAACAAAAAAAAAATTAGAGAAGATCGCACCTCTTATCATATCTGTGTAATTTCCAAATAAAATCAACTATGGGGGAATTTATGAAAAGTAACATTTAAAAATGACTAAACTTAATGCACATGTATTGAAAGACTAGGCTATGATTTCTTATTAGGGGAAATAGGGTCAAGATTTCCAGCTTTTTCATCCTTCTCTAAATAGAAGTGCTTATGTTATTTGCATAAAGGTGAGGAGCATAGCAGAGAAAGGTCAAAAGCAGTTTCTTCACCAGAATTTCACTCAGATTCTTTTCAAGTTGAGGAAGGCAAGTTCTAGACATAATTACTCCAGTCAAAGAAATGTGATAAGAAATAAACATCAAAATTGGCTTCTCTTCATGTCAGATAGATGAAAGTTGAACTGTAGGAATGAGTGAATATAGAAGAGGAGAATTAAAAAAAAAAAAGTTGATCTCAGACTAAGCAGCTACCTAACTTCTGTGAGCAACCTGGCTAAGAACTTTATGGCCATTGTCTAAAACTGATGACAGAAGAGAACTGAAGCCCTTCCCTGAAGTTTAGAGGCTTACTAACCTTACTAACTTTCACTGATACAGTGGATGGTCAATGTGGCTGAAAGAGCTCATTGACAGAGCTGTGGCCCTCCCTTGCAATGGAGAAATTACTAAACCCAGTATCCCCTGTAGATAATAAACAAACTATCAGTTGGCCCTAAAGTTATTTGTATAAATGAAGACCATTAACAATGAAGATTTTCTCCCATGGAGAATAAGCTCAACAGAGCTGTGGGACAGTATCACCAGAGGCATTAGCAGAAGTGTAGCATTAGAGACGTAAGTTGCTCCTCCATGCCCTGACCACATGTATTCCCCCTGTATGATCTCTATGTATATTTATTCTTTCCATGGAGAAGATGTGCATTTATGTGAAGATGACTTTCAGGTTTATGGAAGACATGTTCTTCTGTTCCTTTCATTATTGTTATTTCATCAAAAGCCTTTACTTCTATCTAACTACATCTTTTGACTGATGAGTAAAATATATATATGGAATATATATGTATATATACACACACAGACATGTGTGTGTGTGTGTGTGTGTGTGTGCATGATGTGTAGGGACTCATGAACTGTTATTTGGAGACTTTTATGACCCACAAAATAACTGAAACTTGGGGATAGCTATCCAGGGAGCTCATGATTGAAGGAACCCCTAAGTTCCAATGATTCAAAAACTAATGGAATATCAGATAACTCTGATTCCTTTGAAAGTACCAAGCACTGTTCACCTGCCCTTTGAAACACTGGATGAGGACAATAAATCTATTCTTCCTCTATACAATATTTGTTTTGTTGTCATTAGATACCCATAAAATATCAGACTGATGTGGTTTCCAAACATTCAGTACACATAGCTTATCTACATAATGTTCCTCAAACTTTTTTCCCCTTCAGATTAAGCTCCTTTCAAATAATGACTGCTTAGACCATTGCTGAATATTTCTTCTCATTTGCCTTTATTTAATTTGCTTGTCAGGAAGAGCTTATTGGCCTTTTAATCTTTTTAATGACCAAGGTTCTCTGATATGAATGGGAGCTCCTGCTTAGGAGTCCAATTGCAGCACATAAGAAGGCAGGTCCCCTAGAACCCTGGGAAAGATTCTGCCTCAGCAAATAATGAAGTTTATTGTTAACTCCCCAGTTAGGAGACTTTAATAGTGTTATCCAAGTGCCATACCCATTTATTTCTATATAATAAAGGTTATTGTTCTCTTATCTCTCATTGTGGTTCCATGTAGGGGCATACTCTCCCTTTAATGTTTGTGTGGTGTACAACCCATTCTGGATACCAGGGTCAAGGTTCTGTCATGATTTTGTGCCCACTATTTCTCTTATTTTCTTTAAAATTCTTTGTAATCTGTCAATTCCACCTTTAAACTGAAATCACTCTCTCCAAGGTTACCAATCAACTCTTAAATGGCCTTTTCTCAATCTTTATACTACTTGAGGGCTGCACCTTTGAAACTATTAATCTGCTGCTCACAATCCCACTGTTTTTTTTTGTTTCTCCCCATTATCATCCCTTTATTACAATTACAAATAACAAAATATCCTTGAAAAATAATAAAATAATTTACAGAAGCAAGCACTGTCATGGACAAATCTATTGCCCATATTAGCCAGTATATAGCACTGATCCATAAACTATCAAATACTGATAGCCTCCAAACTGTCAAATTTTAAATTGTCAAAACAGAGAAAATAAAATATATAGAATAAATCAAAATCATGTGGGAAAATAATGAAGTACATATCAACATTGTCACACTGTTGGCTACTGGTAGGTGTCCCAAAGATGTTTCCAGTGGGCCTATAGAAGATAAGCTTATATCCTGATACTTTTAAAGTATGTAAAGTAGTCATAATCATCCACCTTTGGAATAATCTTAATAATATTCAATATAGATGAATAATAGTAGAAAAGCAAATTTTCTTAATACTGTTTCTATCTGAATTCCATTAAAAAGATGAGAATGAGATAATATATAATACATTCCATTTAAATCATCCTTTAAAATTTACAGAGTGTGCTGTACACATCATCTCAGCTCTCCTGCCAGTTTGAATTTTACTTCTTAGTCACCTTGCTAGATCATCATCATTCTGTCCAAAAAGCATGGGCATTACCCAAGAATCTATTCTAGGCTGCTCTACTCCTGTTTCTACCTTTATTAGCTCCTATAGATTCAATCCTCATCTTTATTAAGAAGACTTGGATCTCTTTCTCTGTCTCTCTCTGTCTCTGTCTGTCTCTCTTTCTCCCTTTCTCTGTCATCTTAATCTTGCTCTCAAACCACAGTCCCATAATACAATTATCTGTTGCACATCATCACTTGGATACTGCATAAGCATCTATAACCAGCATGTCCAAAACAGAACTGATTATTCCTCAGCAAATCTCTCCCTCTATCAAATATCACCTTTTTGTTGAGGGCCCCACCCTTTTTTTAGGCACCCAGGTTCAAAATCTAGGAAACATTCTTGACTCCTTGCCAACCTTATTACTCCATATCCCAAGTTTAATAAGTTTCCAAGTTTTGTCTATTCTATCTTCATAATATCTCTCACATCTACCCCCTTTCACTGTACACACAGCCTCTTTCATGGCTCAGACCCTCATTACCCCTCACCTGGGCTATAGAAATTTCCTCGTAATTGGTCTCCTTCCTAGTCTCTCTCCTTTTCAATTCATCCTCTACAGAGCTGCAAAATTGGTATGCCTGAAACACAGATCTGACAATGATGCACTCAAAAATTTTTAGTGGCTCCCTATTCCAACTATAATAAAATATAAAACTTTCAGCCTGGTATTTAAAACTCCTAAATAATCTGGATCCCAAATACCTTTCTGTTCTTATTTTCTGTTCTTACTCTTCATTCAATCTAATTAAAGACTTACTGTCCATTTCTAATGCACGATATTCTGTTCTGGTCTTTTTGCCTTTGTTTAAATGGTTGGCTGAATCTTGAATGGACATCTTCCTCATTCCTGCTTCATAGAATCTCAATTTACATAAAGTGCAACTCAAATTCTGCCGCTAAAGTAAGGCCTTTCTTCACTCTTCCAATAGCACATTTCTCCTTCCAAAAATTTTATGGATAAGTTGCATTTATTTACTTATATGTGGCTATGTTGTATCTCAATAGAAAGACAAGGTCCTGAAGGCAAGGAATGCTGATTTCTTTTGTCTTTATATCCCCAGTCTTCAGAACAATACCTCACACATTGTTGGTGCTTAAGTTTGTCAGAATAAAATAAATTCCCCCTGGGAAGACATGAGTCTATTCAACCCTTATTCAACCCTTGCTCACATGATTTGGGCCTAATGTCACCCTCTTTTGAGGTATCAAGGAGGGCACAGAAACTGGATTCTGGACACTTAGGGTGACCACCAAAATATTACCATTACCAAGCTTCCCTTAGATCTTTAAAAAAGAAGCTAGGGAGTCTTGTGCATCATATGATTTCAGGGTGTGTGGGAAAGTGCCAGGAGGAAGACGTGTAATTTAGTATTATAACTTGTAGTACTGGAACTTCTTAGCCCAATCTATAACACCCTTTACAGCCACTCCTTGGGCTCTCTGTGGACTTTGCTTCTTCTCCTCAGAACATTCTGTAATAACCTAGGCTCTAATGTGACATGGGAGATTGGTCATCTGTGAAGAAATAAAATTCATGTTTCAGGGAATCTGTTTGGGAAAGCAGACTAAAGGCAGTCATGCTGATCTTTAGCAGAATTCATCATGCCTCTTTTCTATTATATAATTCCACTTCAGTTTAGTTTAACAAAAACACCAAACACAATGCACTGCCTATAGTAGGTGCTCTGTAAAAGCTTGTTGACTAAATGGACAAATGCACACATTTTCTACAGAAGGAATACAGAAATGTGTGTATTACTATCAAATTCTCTTTTGCAAGGACCCATGGAATAATTTAAAATGCACAAAATCTGTCTCTATAAGGTATTTATCAGCTGTGTGATCTTGAGCCCAGGTTTCTTCATCTGTAAAATTGGGGTAATTCTACTACTCACCTTGTAGAACTGTTAACAGTATTTTGTTAACAGATAAGTCTTATAGGAATGTAGTATGTTACTTTGTTATATCTGCTGAGCATTTTAATGTCCATTTTCTCCTTTGAATTACAAACCAATCCGCTTGTTTTCTATTATTCCCCATAGCTTATATGTGAGAAACCTGAGGACCAGAGAATTGAAGTTACTTTCCCATGATGGTCCCACTACGACTTGTCAGAGCTGGATAGAGATGCCTAGGGCTTCTGATTCCTATTGCAGTGAACATTCTACTTGTTTCCATTGCCTTCTCAGTGAAATTACCTTCCCCTCTCTCGTTGTGGCACAGGGCAGAAGCAACCTTCAATGCTGGTAGTGGACACTGAATATGGGAAAGTCCAAGGCAAACAAGTGAGACTGCAAGGATTTGGCATACCTGTCCATGTTTTTCTGGGTGTTCCTTTTGCCAAACCTCCTCTTGGACCCTTGAGATTCAGTCCACCACAGCCTCCTGAGCCCTGGGAGTATGTGAAGAATACCACTACATATCCACCCTTGTAAGCTATCAGTCTTCAGATTCTTCTTGGGAAGGGAGGGGTTAAAATGGAGGAGAACATGAAGAAGCATGTTATTGTTTTTGGATTAGTTTGTAGTCAAATTCTGAGAATCCTTCATTTTGTCCCCACCACCCTGGAAAACATCCCTATTTCTTTTTCAACCCCCTAGCTTAAACAGTATCAGGGGTTGGAGGGTTTGTTGGAGGACATCTCAGATTTTCACAGTGGGCTGCTCCTGAACTACAAAGTTATTCATCCGATCCCGGAAGCTTCAGGCAAAATTAATAAATAATAGACGTGCTGCAGTTGCCAAACCTGGATCAATGCTGCTTGCACTAGTTTCTTTGCTTACTTATATTCAAATAAATCCCTGGGCACACATTACCTAGCAGGAAGACAAGTACCCTCTGCTGTCATTGCTCAGTCATGCCAGGACCATCCCTAGTCATAAAACAGGCTCTCTAGGGCCTTTAAAGGTTCTGGTGCATATAAAGCAAGTGATTTGGAGTAAAGAGCCTTGGAATTATAATTAGGATTCTAGCTCTGACTGCTACTTCAGAGCTGTGCAATCCTAGGCCTGTGACTCAACTTTTCTGCTGTCTCATTTCTATAGTGGGGATGAGATGACTCCTTTACTCACCCCACAATCTTGGCATGTAAATGAGATGAGGAACTGACTTCTTGTTATAACACAGCTAATAGCTATAACAACATTTGGGACACCAGAAACATGCATTTTGGTAAAATGGGGAGGGTACAGAGACTGAAGGCCAAGCATACTGTCATTGAGGTCTGAAAGAGCAGCTCTAGGGACCCAGTTTTGTATTTGACTGGCCCAGCAGATACTCCAATGTTTCACAAGGCAGAATGAATTTTATAGATTCTTTGCCTCAATGTAAATCTCCCTTTTTCTGCTCTGTTGTTCCCAAGACCAGCAAGTATTTTATTCACAGTAAGACAGAACATCCAAAGAGATTCTAAATATTGTCTTTGATGGGTGAGAAAACTGAGACCCAGATTGGGTAAGTCCAAAGTCAAACAGAAAGTTAGTGGGTCATTTGGGAACTGAAAGAAAATGAAAGAAATTGGTCAAACCTTCACTAGTGGTGAGGTAGTGACCTAGGTGGTGGAGTCAGAGGACCTGAGTTGCCATCTTGTTTCTAATACTTATTTCCTCTGTGACCATTGACAAGATATTTGCCCTCTCTGAACTTCAGTTTCCTCATTTCTAAAATGTAAGTCTTTGACTAGGTGTTTTCTAAGGACCCTACCAGGTTTAAAACTGCTGAATGATCCTATGGCCACAAATAAGGTTTCCTAAGATGCTGCTAAAAAGAAATGATTTCCACATGTTTTATTTGCCAGGTGTCCCCAGGATATAGTTGTGTCACAGAAACTCTCTAGCCTTTTCTCCATACGGAATGAAACTTTTTCAATGACGTCTTCTGAAGATTGTTTGTATCTAAATATTTATAGCCCATCTAACCTGGCAATGAAGACCAAGTTACCGGTAAGAAGCCTATGGCTGCAGTTGACTATGACTTTGGAGTTGGTAGGTGAGTCATGATTCCTTCTTTTATCTACAGCACAAGACAACAGAGAAGCAACTCTTGCTCTAGAGGGACTGGCAATGGGTTGATATCCTCCCCTTCTCCCAGTGGTCAGACTTTATAACTTTAGAAAGTCATTTAGTTTTGCCTACTGCACCTGTTAGCACAGTACTTGGTACACAGTAGGCTGTAAAGTAAGGACATTCCTTCCTCCATCTACATCCTTTCAAGATTCCTTTGGGTCCAGTTCTGTTCTGTAGGACCAGGCAGTTGTGGACAACCCAAAAGATATTTAAAGACAGTGACCATGCTCCCCCTGAGTCTACTTTAGCTAAACTAAACATCCCATATCTTTAATCAATCCTCAAGTGGAGACTTTTGAATCCTCTAACCACCTAGGTTTCTCTCATTTAATCTACCTACATTATTTCCAAGTTGGAAGCACTTTAGTGTTTCTAAGCTAACCCATAGCTACATAGGAATCATCTCTATAATGTACCAGACAAATAGTCTCCACCCACTGCTTGAAGACCTCTATTGAGTGGGGACTCACTACCAATCAAGGGCATTTTACAGAGGGACAGCTCTATATGTTAGGGAACTTATTCTTCCACAGATCTTGAATGTATTTCTCTGCAAACCTCTCTCATTGTTCCTATTGTAGCCCAATGGGCTGAAGATAACAAGCTTGATCCCTCTTCTCCATGGCAACTTTTCTAATACATAAATTCAGCTGTCATATCCCATCCTTCCCTTTTCAAATCTCCTTAGTTTCTTCAACTGATTTAAGTGTGGGAAATTTAATTACTTACCAGTTTTTCTCAACACTAACATTGCCTTCTCCAAATCAACCAGGTGGATTGAGAGAGCATTTTGATCTGTGGCATTTCTTTATTTTTGATGTTTTAAATCAGTGATGTCAAACTCAAATAAAATTTGCAGCTGCAAATTGATTTAGCAAGCCACAAGTTAACACTATTTATGTTGTATTATAGTTTTATTCATTTTGTTAAACATTTCCCAATTATATTTTAATCTGGTTCAGGCCATACTCAAGAGTTTTGGGGACCACATGCAGCCCTCCATTCTTTAATTTTACACACATGCTAATTATTCTAAGTGGTTATATTAAGGAAAAGAACTGGCATAGAGATGTAATTAGGCTGCTCTCAAGACTTCCATTACCATCCTGCAACCTCACTATGCCCCAGCTCTTCATCTTAAAGCTTCGTTCTTGCCCTGGAATTCATACAACAGAAGTATCCTCTATCCCTGAGTTCTCTGCCTGTGATTGGATGGCTCCTCTTAGAGCCTTATTTAAGGATGATACCACACCAGCCATGTCTCATTCCTTTCCATGCTGCACTCAGGACTTTCTATACCTTTCCCTACCATGAAGTGGTACTTTTCTTCTTCTCCCTATCCCATTGACTTTTTACCTTCCTTTTATATGTTAAGAGGAAACAGATTTATCTTACTCCAGGGCCTATATGTGGTCCATTCTGTTTCTTGAGAAATTCCAAATACCTTGTAGTACTGATTCCACACTCTAGCCACAGTAGAATCTAGATTTGGGGAGCTTAGTAGGACATTTAGTCTAATCCCCTCATTTTACAGATAAGAAAACTGAGGAAGAATGTGACTTGCCCAAGGTCACATAGATAGTAAATGGCCAAGCTGATATTTAAACCCAGGTTTTCTTATTTTAAAGCTAGTGTTTGTTTACACCATTCCACATTCCCCTCTTTAATAGTCAAAAACTGAATGAATGTCCCAAGGATAGCATGGAGGCCACAGTCACATGCAGCATTCCTGACAGTGACATAGTGCCCTGCCTATACCCTTCACTTATCTCTTCTCTTTTCCTTCCTAATTGCTGGTTAATGGATAATGAAAGGCTTGACCAAACTAACTTTTGCTGTTAATGAATATGCTTTCTAGGTGCTTCTTTGTAAGAGGTTTTCTTACAAGGAATGGACCTTTTCCCCACTGAAGTGTACTTTGAACACAGCATTGAGGAAAAAGTTTTACACACTGGGTTTTCTTCCAGTACTATTCTTCACATCAGAAGCCAAAAAGTTTTTATTGTGCACAAAACCCTGGCTTGTAAGAGCATTGCTGAGGAAGGTTCTGGGAGGCTGGAGAGAGGTTACATCCCCAAAGTAGAGACTCAAGAGCTTTCACAGTGGCCACAGAAGTGACCTGGAGCCTGATGGGGTTGATTCTTGTAAAGTACACCTTCTGGTTATGGCCTGTGCACACATACATGCATTTACTAATAAGTGTGTGCTCAATGAGCTATGTATGTATAAACACACTTGTAGGTACTCATATGGACGATACCCACACTCCTAATTCCTCATTTGGTTCTCTTTCCACTATACTAAATCAACAATTCAAGGGAATAAGCATGTTCATCATGTGCCAGACATTGTGCTAAGTGCAGGGAATGCAAATATAAGCAGAAAGAAAGGTAGTCCCTGCCCTCAAGAAACTTAGATCCCAAGAGAGGATGACAATACATAAAAGGCAGCTGAAAGGGGTGAGGGGTACCAGCGAGGAACATGGTGTAAAAAATACTATGAAGATGACTCACTAGTTAAGCAGAGAGAAGAATGAAGGCATAGTTGGTGTGGGCCTTCTCCTTAAAGAAGTCCTAGAAGAAACAAGTCAATCAGTAGGAGAGGGCCCAGGGAGAAGGGTATTTCCAATGTGAAAAATAGTCCTAGGGTAGAGTGAGTTTCCAGAATGCAGAAGTTTATATGGCTTAGCAGAGTAAGTCCTATGAAGATACTAGCAATGCAGTTTGGAGAGGAAGGAAGACCTCACCACTTTCCTGAAGATCATTGATCGTATGGCCTGGGTCACTTAGAAATTCACTTTCTAAGGTTTCTTTTAACTCTGAATTCCTTTGACCAAAACAATTTCTTTCTTCTCATTCCTCAGGTAATGGTATGGATCCATGGAGGAGGGTTGATGATGGGTGAGGCTTCAACCTATGATGGACTGGCCCTCTCAGCTCTTGAAAATGTGGTAGTGGTGTCCATTCAGTACCGCCTGGGAATCCTAGGGTTCTTTAGGTAAGATCTGGAGTCTGGTAATTCAACCAATATACAACAAAAATGTGAATCTTCTCTTGCTACTAGATCCATTGGTACACCCCACTTCTCAAATTCTCTGATTTTTAGGGCAACTGCTCTTTTTTTAAATTAATTTATTTATTTTTAGTTTTCAACATTCACTTCCACAAGATTTTGAGGTCCAAATTTTTCCCCATCTTGTCTCTCCCCTCACCCCAAGATGACATGTATTCTGAATACCTTTTCTCCTAATCTGTCCTCCCTTCTATTTCTCCCTCCCTTCTTTTATCCTCTTCCCCTTCAATTTTCCTGTAGGGCAGGATAGACTTCTATACCCCATTTCCTATATATCTTATTTCCCAGTTGCATGTGAAAACAATTTTTTTTTTAACTTTTGCTTTTAAAACTTTGGGTTCTGGGGCAGCTAGGTGGCACAGTGGATAGAGCACTGGCCCTGAAGTCAGGAGGACCTGAGTTCAAATCTGGCCTCAGATCAAATATTTGACACTTACTAGCTGTGTGACCCTAGGCAAGTCACTTAACCCCAATTGCCTAAAAACAAAACAAAACAAAACAAAAACCTTTGGGTTCCAAATTTTCTCCCTTTCTCCCTCCCCACCCACCCTCATTGAGAGGGCAAGCGACTTGATACAGGTTATACATGTGTAGTCATGCAAAACACTTCCATAATAGTCATGCTGTGAAATATTAACTATATTTCCCCACATCCTATCCCAGTACCCCATTTATTCTATTCTCTTCTTTGACCCTGTCACTTCTCAAAAGTATTTGCTTCTGATTACCCCCTCCCCAATCTTCCCTCCCTTCTATCATCCCCTCCTCTCTTATTCTTTTCTCCCCCTAATTTCCTGAAAGGTAAGATAGATTTCCATACCCAATTGAATGTGTATGGTATTCCCTCCTTAAGCCAAATCTGAGGAGAGTAAGATTCACTCATTCCCTCTCACCTTCCCTCATTTCCCTTTCATTGTAAAAGCTTTTTCTTGTCTGTTTTATGTAAGATAATTTACCCCATCTACCTCCCCCCTTTCTCCTTCTCCCAGTATAATCCTCTCTCACCCCTTAATTTTATTTTTTAGATAACATCCCATCATCTTCAACTCACCTTGTGCCCTCTGTCTATACACACAAACATACATACACACACACATACATATACATGTACATACACATACATATATATATATACACATATAAATATACATACATACATACACACATATATTTTTCCCTCCAATTACTCTAATACTAAGAAAGGTCACATGAGTCACAGATATCATCTTTCCATGTAGGAATGTAAACAGTTCAACTTTAATAAGTCCCTTATGATTTCTCTTTCCTGTTTACCTTTTCATGCTTCTCTTGAGTCTTGTATTTGAGAGTCAAATTTTCTATTCAGCTCTGATTTTTTCATCAAGAATGCTTAAAAGTCCTCTATTTCACTGAATGTCCATTGTTTCCCCTGAAGGATTATGCTTGGTTTTGCTAAGTAGGTGAGTTTTGGTTGTAATCTTAGCTCCTTTGACATCCTGAATATCATATTCTAACCCCCCAATACAATAATATAGAAAGTGATTAATCTTGTGCTATCCTGATTGTGTTTCCATAATACTTGAATTGTTTCTTTGTGGCTGCTTCCAATATTTTCTCCTTGACCTGGGAATACTGTAATTTGACTATAATATTCCTAGGAATTTTCCTTTGGGCATCTCTTTCAGGAGGTAATTGGTAGATTCTATAAATTTCTATTTTACCTTCTAGTTCTAGAATATCAAGGCAGTTTTCCTTGATAATTTCTTGAAAGATGATGTCTAGGCTCTTTTTTGATCATGGCTTTCAGGTAGTCTAATAATTTTTAAGTTATCTCTCCTGGATCTATTTTCCAGGCCAGTTTTTTTAAATAAACCTATTTATTTTTAGTTTTCAACATTTATTTCCACCAGATTATGAGTTCCAAATTTTCACCCCATCTCACCCGCCCACCCCAAGATGGCAACATTCTGAATACCCCTTCCCCTAGTGTGCCTTCCCTTCTATCTCTCCCCACCCTTCTCTTATCCTCTTTCCCTTCTATTTTCCTGTAGGATACATTTCTGTACCCCATTTCCTGTATTTCTTATTTCCCAATTGCATGTGAAAACTTTTTTTTAAACATGTGTTTTTAAAACTTTGGGTTCCAAATTTTCGCCCCTCCTCCCTCCCCACCTGCCCTCATTGAAAAGGCAAGCAACTCAATATAGGTTATACATATGCACTTATGTAAAATGCTTCCATAGTAGACATGTTGTGAAAAACTAACTCTATTTCCCTTAATCCTATCCCGCTCCCCCATTTATTCTATTCTTTCTTTTGACCCTGTCCCTCCTCAGAAGTATTGGCTTCTGATTACTCCCTTTCCCATTCTGCCCTCCTCTCTATCATTCCCCTACTCTCTTGTCCCATTTCCCCTACCCCCAATTTTCCTGCAGGGTAAGACAGATTTCCATACCCAATTGAGTGTGTATGTTATTCTCTCCTTAAGTGAAACCCTATGAGAATAAGAATCATTCACTCCTTCTCAACTTCCCCAGTTTCCCCTCCATTGCAAGAGCTTTTACTTTCTTGAAAGATGATGTCTAGGCTCTATTTTAGATCATGGCTTTCAGATAGTCCAATAATTTTTAATTTCTTTCTCCTGGATCTATTTTCCAGGTCAGTTGTTTTTCCAATGAGATATTTCACATTGTTTTCTAATTTTTCAGTCTTTTGGATTTGTTTTACAGTGTCTTGATTTCTCATAAAGTCATCAGCTTCCAAGTGCTCTATTTTAATTTTAAGGAAATATTTTCTTCAGTAATCTTTTGGAGTTCCTTTTCCATTTGGCCATTTTTTGCTTTTTAGGGCATTCTTCTCCTCATTGGCTTTTTGGACCTCTTTAACCATTTGGGTTAGGCTATTTTTTAAGGTGTTATTTTCTTCAGTATTTTTTGGGTCTCCTTTAGCAAGCTATTGACTTGTTTTTCATGATTTTCTTGCATCACTCTCATTTCTCTTCCCAGTTTTTCCTCTACTTCTCTTACTTCCTTCTCAAAATCCCTTTTGAGCTCTTCCAAGACCTGGGACTCATTCATATTTTTCTTGGAGGCTTTGGATGTGGGAGTTTTGACTTTGTTGTCTTCTTCTGGTTGTATATTTTGATATTCTTTGTTGCCAAAGTAAGATAATATAGTCTGACTCTTTTTGTGCTGCTTACTCATGTTCCAGGCCAATTACTTGAGTTTTAAACTCTTTGTTAAGGTAAGAGTCTGCTTCCAATGGGGAGAATGTACTGTCCCAAGCTTCAGAGGTTCGTACAGCTGTTTTCAGAGATACCTCTAGGGACCTGTAAATTTTCAGCTTTTCCAAGATGGTATGATAAGGGATGAGGTGTTTCCTCTCCACAGCCACTGCAAGCTCCACCACACAAGCACTCCTCCTTGCCCAGGACTGCCCCTCAGAACTGTCACCCAAATCCAAGAATGGACAAAGCAAGAGATTCCTGCCTCAGCACTGGCAAAAAGATTCCTGCAATCCCTCTCTGATCAGCCACTTGATTCCCCCTCAGTCTGTGGGCAGGAAGGTCAGGAGGCATCTGCTGCCCTGGTGGGACTTGAGACTGAGACCTAGCTTTTCTCTCTCACTGCAGTCACAAACTTTTCCCACTGACCTTCCAAGTTATCTTTGGTGTTCATGGATTGAGAAGTCTGGAAACTGCCACAGTTGCATGCGATTCAGTCCTCTGAGGCTTGCTCCAGGTTTTCTGCAGCCTGCATGCCCACACTGTGCTCCTCCCCCTATCTGGTGCGATATACCTTTCCAATCAACTACCCATGCTGTCTTGGGCTGGGAATTTGTTTCACTCAGTCTTTTTGTGGGTTCTGCTGCTTTAGAATTTGTTTAGAGCCATTTTTTAACAGGTATTTGGAAGGGATTGGGGGAGAACTCAAGCAAGTCACTGCTTTCCCTCCACCATCTTGGCTGTGCCCCCTGTTTTCAGGTCAGTTGTTTATCCAATGAGATATTTCACCTTGTCTTCTATTTTTTCATTCTTTTGGGTTTGTTTTATAATTTCTTGATTTTTCAAAGAGTCATTAGCTTCCATTTGCTCCATGCTAGTTTTTAAGGAAGTATTTTCTTCAGTGAGCTTTTGGACTTCCTTTTCCATTTGGCCAATTCTGCTTTTTAAGGCATTCTTCTCCTCATTGGCTTTTTGGACCTCTTTTGACATTTGGCTTAGGCTATTTTTTTAAGATGTTATTTTCTTCAGTATTTTTGGGTCTCCTGTAGCAAGTTGTTGACTAGTTTTTCATGATTTCTTGCATCACTCTCATTTCTCTTTCCTATTTTTCCTCTACTTCTCTTACTTGTTTCTCAAAATCCTTTTTGAGCTCTTCCATGGCCTGAGACCAATTCATATTTTTCTTAGAGGTTTTTGTTGTAGGAACTTTGACTTTGTTGACTTCTTCTGGTTGTATGTTTTGATCTTCTTTGTCACCAAATTAAGATTCTATAGACTGAGGTATTTTTTTGTGTTTTTTTTACATTGTTTGCTCATGATCTCAGCAGTTACTTTGTTAAGGTAGGGGTCTGCTTCCAGTGTGGAGTCCCAAGCTTTGGGGGTTTTGTGCAGCAGCTACTTCTAGGGACCCGTAAATTTTCAATTCTTCCAAGGTGGTACAATGAAGGGCAAGGTGTTTACTCCTCTCCTGGCCTGTGATCTGGTCTGTGAGTGACACAAGTACTCTTTTCTGCCTTGGAAATGTGAGGAGGTTTCCCTCTCCACCACTGTCACAAGCTCCACCATGCCTAAGCTCCTCCTTACTCCAGGACTGCCACCCAGAACAACCCATATTGAAGCATGGGCAAAGCAAAAGAATCCTGCCTCAGCACCAACCAAGATCCCTGCAATCTCCCTCTGATCAGCTGCTTGATTCTGCCTGCCATCTGTGGGATGAGAGCTCTGAAAGTAGCCATGATCCTGTAGCTGCACTGGAACTGGGGCTTGGACCAACCTCTTTTCTCACTAAGGTCTGACAGACCTTTCCTACAGACCTAATAAATTTTCTTTGGTGTTTGTGGGTTAAGAAGTCAGGAAACTACCAGAACCCACCTTGATTCAGTCCCCTGACCTGCTGCAAGTTTGCTGGGCTCTGGTCTTTGCTGGCCTAGCCCATGCTGAACTGTGTTTGTCTCTCAGTCTGGCCTAACAGGCCTTTCCTGTCAACCCATCCAGCTTTTCTTAGACTGGAGATTTGTTTTACTCTATCATTTTGTGGATTCTGCTGCTTTAGAATTTGTTTAGAGACATTTTTACAAGTATTTAGAGGGTTTTGGGGAGACCTCAAGCAAATCACTGCTTTTGCTCTGCCATTTTGATCCCATTCCCACCTTTTTTTTAAAAAAAATAAAGTTTTTTCCAATTACACAAAAAAATAATTTTTAGCTTTCATTTTTAAAACATTTTGAATTCCAAATTCTCTCCCTTCTTCCCACTCCTTCCCCTCCTTCAGAAGGCAAGCAATTTTATAGAGGTTATACATGTACAGTCATGTAAAACATTTCCATATAAGCCATGCTGCAAAAGAAAGCAAAGACCAAAAGCCTCCCCCCCCAAAAAAAGGAAAATAATAAAGAAAGTAAAAACAAGTATGCTTCTATCTTCATTCAAACTCTGTCAATTCTTTCTCTAGAGGTGTATAGAATTTTTCATCATAAGGCCTCTGGAATTGTCTTGAATGATTGTATTGCTAAGGATAACTAACTCATTTATAATTGATCATGCAATATTGCTTCTATTGTGTACAATGTTCTCCTTGTTCTGCTCACTTCACTTTGCATCAGTTGAAATAAGTTTTTATGAAACCCACCTTCTTGTCATTCCTTACAGCACAATAGCATTCCATCGTACTCATATGCCACAACTTGTTCAACCATTCCCCAATTGATAGGCATCCCCTCAATTTACAATTATTTGCCACCACAATGAAAGTCATTATAAATATTTATGTATGTGTGGATCCTTTTCCTTTACCTTTTCCTTTGATCTTTTTGGGATACAGATCTAGTAGTGATATAGCTAGATCAAAGTGTATGCTCAGTTTTATAGCTCTTTTGGAATAGTTCTAAATTGCTCTTCAGAATAATAGGATCAGTTCACAACTCCACCACCAGTACATTAGTATTCCAACTCTTCCACATCCCCTCCAACAACTGTCATTTCTCTTTTCTGTCATATTAGCCAATCTGATAGGTATGAGGTGATACTTCAGAGTTGTTTTAATGCACATTTCTCTAATCAATAGTGATATAGGGCATTTTTTAACATGACTATAAATTTCTTCTGAAAACTGACTGTTCATATTCTTTGACAATTTGTCAATTTGAGAATGACTCCTATTCTTATTGATTTGATTCAGTTATCTATATATTTGAGAAATGAGGTTTTTATCAGGGAAACTTGCTATAAAAAGTTTACCCTTGTTTCCTACTTTCCTTCTATACTTGGCTACATTGGATTTGTTTGTAAAAAAAACCTTTTTAATTTAATATTATCAAAATTATCCATTTTATTTCTTATAATGCTCTCTATCTCTCGCTTTGTCTCAAATTCTTCCTTTATACATGGATCTGATGGTTAGATATTCCATACTTCCCTAATTTACTTATGGTATCTCAGTTTATGTCTTAATCATATATCCTTTTTGGCATTATCTTGGTGTTTCATGTGAGATGTTGGTCCATATCTAATTTTTGCCAAACTGCTTTCTTAGTTTCCTAGAAATTTTTGTCAACTAGTGAGTTCTTGTTCCCAAACACTTAGATCTTTGTGTTTATCAAACACATTACTATGGTCATTTAATACTGTGTATTGTGTACCTAATCTATTCCACTGTTTCACCATTCTATTTCTTAACAAGCACCAGATTGTTTTCATGATTATCATTGTGTAATACAGTTTGAGATCTGGTCCTGGTAGGCCACCTTCCTTTACATTTCTTTTTCATCAGTTCCCTTGATATTCTTTAACTTTTATCCTTCCAGATTAATTTTATTATTTTTTCTACATCTATAAAATATTTTTGTTACTTTAATTAGTATGCCATTGAATAAGTAAATTAGTTTGGGTAGAATTTTCATTTTTATTCCATTGGCCTACTCATGAACAACTAATACGTCTTCAATTGTTCATATCTGACTTTAAGTTAGTGGAAAGTGTTTTGTAATTGTGTTCATATAACCCACAAGTTTGTCTTGGCAGGGAGACTCACAAGTATTTGACTACAGTTATTTTAAATAGATTTTCTTTTTCTATCTCTTCCTGCTTGACTTTGTTGGTGATTATTTCAACTAATTTTTAATTGATTCTCTAGAATTCTCTCAGTATACCATCATATCATCTGCAAAGTGTTATAGTTTTGTTTCTTCAGTGCCTATTCTAACTTTTTTAAATTTATTTTTCTTCCCTAATTTTGATAGCTAGCATTTCTGGTACAATTTTAAATAATGGTGGTGATAATTGGCATCTTTGATTCACCCCTGATTTTATTGGGAAGGCTTCTAGTTTATGTTATTGCAGGTAACATTTACAGGTGGGTTTAAATAAATACTATTTATCATTTTAAGAAAGTTCCATTTATTTCTATGCTTTCTAATGTTTGTTTTTTAAAATAAGAATGAGTGTTGCATTCTGTCAAAAGTATTTTCTGCATCTATTGAGATAATTACATGATTTTTGTTCTTTTTGTTATTGATACAGTGAATTATGCTGATAGCTTTTCTAATGTTGAAGCAGCCCTGCATTCCTAGCATAAATCCCCCATCATAGTGTTTGATCTTTGTGACATATTGCTATAATATCCTTGCTAGTATATCATATAATTTTTTTTGCGTAAATATTTATTAGGGAAACTGGTCTAGAGTTTTCTTTTTCTTTTTTCACTCTTCTTGGTTTAGGTATCAGCACCATACTTGTGTCATAAAAGCAATTTGGTTGGACTCCTTCTTTGCTATTTTTCCAAATAGTTTATATGGTCATGAATTAATTATTCTTTAATTATTTGCTAGAATTCAGCTGTGAATACATCTGGTTCTGGAAGTTTTTTTTCCTCTTAGGGAGTTCATTTATCGCTTGCTTAATTTCTTTTTCTAAGATATTTATATTTTTAAGATACTTATTTAAATATTTCCTCTTCTGTTAATCTGGGCAATTTAAATTTTCATCTATTTCACTCAGATTGTCAAATTTATTTGCATTAATTGGGCAAAATAGCTTCTAATAATTGTTTTAATTTCTTCTTCATTGGTAATGAATTTACTCTTTTCATTTTTGACACTGATACTCACCTTCTTAAAGTATATATTTACTGAACCAATGAGCCTTCATACTTAGCCAGGCAGCCAACCAAAACCAGAAGAATATGCCCAGGCTAAGATTAATTCTCTGATTATGGGTCAGGGAGTCAATTACCCCCCTCCTTTATTTTTCCTGGAACAGATTTGCAGCCCATTATTCTAGAAAATATGCTGAGAAGTTACAAAATCATCTGTAATATATTTCCATTACATCCCTGAATGGGATGCTGTGTTCTACCAACCCATTTCATGGACTCCACCCAACATAATGCTATAGGAGTAATGTGTAGGCTTGATGGATGCATGCTCTGAATATCCTATTTGCTTGAAGAAGAGATATACATGGAAAATGAGGGCAAAACAAAGGTTATGTGAACCACTTGGAGCACATTTTTTTTTCAATTTCTTCCAAAAAAAAGTTAATCCTGTTTTATTCACCCCTGCCCAGTCTAAATATGCTACCTCCCTACTGATATTATGCATTGAGTATCAACAAGTATTGACAACAAAAAGTATCAACAGAAAAAGATTGAGTATCAACAACAACAAAAATGCTAATTGACAAGTGGAGGGTATAAAATAATAATTCTTAATTGTTGGAATTCAAAGGAAGGAAAATCATTATGGGTTTTGGCATTCTTGCTTCTTGGAAGAGGTAGGATATGAATTGGGTCTTTTCATATAGGCAGCAAGAATGGCAAAGAAGACTTGGTCTCTACCCTCATAATACATCTAATGAAGAAAAGAAGACCTACACAAAATGACAATGTGGGAGGTTGATCTGGATTCACTAAAGATATGGAGGCTCAGTATTATTCCTTATTACCAGTTATTACTAATAGTAATAACTAACATTTGCAGTGCTTTATCTATGTTACTGGACCTCTCAACAAGCCCATTACTTAGTTACTATTATTATCTCCATTTTACAGATTAGGAAAATGAAGCTCAGAGAGATTAGATGTTTTGAACCATGATCATATAGTTATGGAGTATCACAAGTCATATTTTAACCTAGTTCTCTCTTAACCACCACCAGCCCAGTACTCTTTCCACTACACTATACCATGCTGCCCTCAATTTCGTGACCCTAACTCAACACTCTCCAAGATTTATATTGTTTTTTGAAAGTTATTCTCTTTTTTTAATCCATCTACCTCCTTTCCTCTCCTCCCTTGTAGTACTGGAGATGAACATGCTAGAGGGAACTGGGGTTATTTAGACCAAGTGACTGCACTCCACTGGGTCCAGAAGAACATTGGTAATTTTGGAGGAGACCCAAGCCTCGTGACCATCTTTGGAGAGTCAGCAGGAGGTTTTAGTGTTTCAGCTCTGGTGAGTTTTCAGAGTACCAGGCCTTGATTGAGGAGGGTACTACCAGTGAATCTTAGTAAAGAGTGGGAGCCATAGAAATGAGTAAGGTCGGCCATGCCTCAAGATTCTGACTATAGATAGCTAATAATGAATATTTATGGCCATATTGAATGTAGTCACTTTTCAAAATGGTGTTCTTTCATAATAATGACGCAACTAACAAGTACTTTAAAATCACTTCCCTCACAGCTACACTCTCCATTAAGTAATACAAGTATTATTATTTCAGTTTTATAGATGAGGAAACTGAGATTCAGAGAGATGAAGTGGCTGAAGTCTCACTGTCATGAAGTATATTAATTGGGACTTAAGCTCATCTCCAGATTCCAAATCCAATGTTCTTTCTATGCATGCAACTTACACTAAGTAGTTGAAATTACCATGAAAATCTACGCAGTTTCTCCATAAGGTAGCCCAACCTAACTTTATGAAGCTAGAAGGAGAACTATTATCTTTGTGAGCAATAGCTTGAGGTGAAATAAAGCAGTCTAGAATGGTACTCCAATCTTTTAGTGACCTTTTCCTGCCCCTGCTATCAGCTGCCTTCTCTCTCTAGTTTTCAGTCTCCATCTACTGACTCCTTCCTTGCGGCTTACAAAAATTCCCACATGCTTTTGTATCTTAAAAAACAAAAACAAAACAAAACAAAACAAAACACCTCACTTGATTCAACCATCCCTGAAAGCTACCATTCTGTAATCTTCTCCTCTTCTCAGCTTGAAAAACCTCTTTATTTGATGCTTCTGATTTCTTGATTCTCATTATATCCCAAGCTCTTCCATAATCTGGGTTCTAACCTAATCACTAGACTGAAACTTCTCTCTACTACATTATCAAAAATAGCCTAATTGTCAAGTCTGATAGTCTTTTCTCAATCTCCATCCTTCTTGACCTTCCTTGGATAATCTCTCTTCACTGGGTTTCCATAATATGGTTTTCTCTTGATTCTCTGCTTAACTGACAGCTCCTCAGTTTCTCTTGCTGGATCTCCATATGACAAAATTGCAAATATCCCTCAAGGCACTATCTTTTTTTCCCCTCTATCTACTATTTTACTAGGTTATCTCAAAAGCCCTCATGGATTTGTCATTTACTTGCAAATAATTTCCAGATCTATATATACAGCCCAGTATATTTCTTTGAGTCTAGTCCTAAGTCACTAACTGCCTATTTAACATTTAAAAATTATTGTCTCACAGGGTTTCAAAGTCAACATAACTGAAACTGAACTTATTATCGGTTCCCACCACCCACCCTGAAACCTTGTCTTCTTCAAAACTTCCCTATTACTCTCAAAGATATTATCATTCTTCTAATCACCTAGACTCTCAATTTTGGTGTCACCTTTGACTCCTCCCTCTTACTCAATCTGATTGTCCGGTCATTTGCCAAATCTTTCCATCTATACCTCTATAACATCTCTCATATGCAACCCATGGAGAACACCAAGATTAGATAAGATATGGCCTTTGCCTTTATGTAGCAAAGGGGAAAGACACAAAGAGATTATTTTAATTCTCAGTGTGACTGTAACTTATTGCCAGTGAAATGGAAGACTTGTAGTTTTATTTTCTTTTTATAAATGTTTTATTAATGCCTTTTGCCTTTGCATCATGGCCATTTCAGTTTCCCCATCCAAATTGCCTCCAACCCCCCTTGTAAATTAGAAAGACAAATAAGAACATTTACTATAGTGATTACAACAGATAATACAAAAAATATGCGGCTCTAATCTTTTCTACCTCTTTACTGTGAGGGAGGAGCTGCTATATTTCATCACCTGTTCTCAGGGACCTCCAGTGGTGTTTTCATTACTCTGAGATCAGTTTCATTTAGTGGTTTTCCCATTTATATTGCAGACACCGTACATATATTTTCTGAGTTCTGCTTATTTCATTCTGTATTAGTGCACATACAATCTTCACATTTCTTTGAGCTCCATGTATTAATAATTTTGTGCTGTTTAATAATATTACCATACACACATATGTATGTCTATACCTGTACACTTATGTGTATATGAATAGATATTAAACAAAGTTGAGATAAAAATGATTAAAGTTATTTCACAGACTGTCATAAATCAATTTCAAAACGTATAGTATTTTAGAAAATGTATAGCATTTTAGAAAGGGGGTAGCTAGGTGGCACAGTTGATAGAGTGCTGGGCCTGGAGTCAAGATGACTCCTCTTCTTGATTTCAAATCTGGCTTCAGATACTTAGTAGCTATGGGACCCTGGGCAAATCACTTAACCCTGTTTGCCTCAGTTTCCTCATCTGTAAAATGAGCTGAAGAAGGAAATGGTAAACCATTCCTGTATCTTTGCCAATAAAAACCCAAATGAGGTCCTAAAGAGTCATTCGTGACTAAAAATAACTGAAAAACAACAACAATTAATAAAACCTTTACAAAAATTGGAATCTTTTATCCTAGGTTTACACACTACTCTTTCAAGAGGGCTCAGATAATTTATATGTAATGCACATTTCTATCTATATATTCACTCACTCACGAATAATGTTATAAATTTGACTATGCTTCTATAATATATAAAATACATACATATATACATAAATATGTGTATGTAGATGCACATACATCCATGAACATATGAGTACATAGCATTTTGTTTTAGCCAATCTCTAATTGATGGCCACCAATTTTCATTCCAGATATTCATTGCTGCTATGAATATTTTGGTATATATTGGATACTTTTTTCCTGACTTTTACTTATTTTGGGTATATACACTGGAATGAGAATACTGGATCAAAGACACTGAACAGTTTAGTTACTTTTCTTCCATTATTCCAAAGTACCACTTCACAGCTCCATGAACAATGCATTATCCACCTGTTTTCTCACAGGTTCTCCAAATTTTTTTGTTTCCGTCATTTGTCATTTTTGTGAATCTGCATGACTCGAGGAGAAATCTCATGATGATTTTACCTTGCATCTAACTAATGATAAGTGTTTTGGAGCATGTTTTTGAAGATTCTTTCTGAAAGCAATCTGGTAGTAGGTAGTAAGTTATAAAAACAATTGTAACCTTTGACTTAAATAATTTCTACTTTAAAATATTCCCCCAAATATTGTCAAAAGCAAACAAAAGGACTATCTTTTCAGAGATTTTATAGTATTGTTAGATGTTTTAAGAAACTGGAAACAACTAAATGTTCAACAAAAAGGGGAATATTAAATAAACTGAGGTCAATCAGACAATTAACTAGAATGTATGAAGTTCCTACTATATGCTGGGCATAGGTTTGGTGCTGAGTACACAGACAAAAATGAAACAATGCCTACCCCGAAGGAGCCTGGAATATAATAAGTACTTAATAAATGCTACTGACTGACATATACAAATATAAAGTAACTTAGGGTACAATAGAATTCTACAATACAATTAATATCAACAAATTTAAGGAGTAGATTGAAATCTTGAAAGACCATTATGAAATAATGGAAAGTGAAAAATACAGAACCAGAATAATGGAGTGCACATTTACTACATTTAAATGACAAAAAATGAATGAGAATGAATAGACAATTCTAATGGGAACTTACAATGGCTGAAAAAAAGATGATGATACTGTAGTCAGTCAGTCAATAAACATTTATCAAGCTCTGTGCTTTTATTGGTGATATAAAGAAAGGCACAAAATATATAGTCCCTGCTCTCTAGAAGCTTGCAGTCTAATGGGAAAGACAACATGAAACAGCTATGTAGAAACAAATTATAAATGGTACAAATTAGAAATAATCAACAAAAGGAAGGCACTAGAATTAAGGGGAAATGGGAAAGGTTTCCTATAGAAAATGGAAATTTTGGGGCAGCTAGCTGGTGCAGTGGATAGAGCATCAGCCCTGTATTCAGGAGGACCGGAATACAAATCCGGCCTCAGACACATAGCATTCACTCACTGCGTGACCCTGGGCAAGTCACTTAACCCCGTTGCCTATCCAAAAAAAGAATTTAAAAAAAAAGGAAAATTTTGCTGAGACTTGAGGGAAGCCAAAGAAGCAAGGAGGTAAGAATGAGGAGAGAGAGTATTCCAGGCATGGGGAACAGCCAGTGAAAATACCTGGAATTGAATGATGGAGTGTGCTGTTCAAGGAACAAGGATCAAGGAGGCTAGTGTCACTGACTCACAGAATATGTGGGAAATAGGGGTATAAGGTTTAACAAGATAGGAAAGGGGTGAAGCTAGTAATGGAGGGCTTTATCAGCCAAACAGATAATTTTATATTTTGTGCTGGAAGTGATAGAGAGCCATTAGAGTTTATTGAGTTGGGAGAGAGAAGGCGTGACATGGTCAGACCTGTACTTTAGGACTTACTTTGACAGCTGAGTGGAAAATTGACTGGAGTAGGAAAGACTTGTGGCAGGGGGACCAACCAGCAGTCTATTTCAACAACCTAGGTGAAAGGACATGAGGGCTTACACCACAATAGTGGCAGTGTCAGAGGAGGGAAAGGGACACATGTAAGAAATGGCTATGTTGATTGTGGGCTTCCCCATTTTGGCTAAATTTTGAACCATTCAGTGAATTAGCCAGAACTTGCTTGACTCACTACCTTTTTTTTTTTTGCTTGACTTACTACTTGTTTTTAATCCCAGTATCCAATAAGTACAACCATAGCTTACCTGGCACCATCTGGGTACAGAACCAGGGACTGGCTTAGACCTATATGCAGCCACAGTTTCCAAGACTTCATGATTTCTAGGCCTTCATGGAGTAGCCAAAAAGGGACCCAAATAATTGAATTTCTGTTCTAACCTTAGTATTTCATTACTTTAAGGTTTATTGCCCACTTAAAACACATTTTTTTTTCCCTTGGAGGAGTAGTATATGAAATCTGATTGGCCGTTGACTTTGTGTAAATTAGCCTTAGTGAATATATGTTCAAACCGTGCTTGATCTTTGTGTACCTGTGCAACCAGCCTGCAGGAAATAGTAGTCTGTAAACACCCTTACACATTCATACTTAGCCATGGGAAAAGTTGAGGTGGCACAAACCCACTTCCTCATACTTGTACTAATCAGCAGTTTTGGCCTTTATATGGAAGTCATTTACTGTTATCTATAAAAGCTGTGCCAAGGTTTGTAATCAGTGCTGGCTGCATCCAAGGTATCAAGCTTCATCTAATTTCCTGAGTTTGCCTTATTGACCAGGGCTAGGTCCAAACCAAGATTCCTTGGACAGTACCTCTATGAGAATAAGATTATCATAAGCTTTCCTAAGAGAAGATTTTGATAGGGAGAGAAGGGGAGATCCTGAGAAAACTGGATTTTGGAAAAGAAAAGAATGGAAGTCAATGAGTGAGGAGAAAGGGAATAGACATGAGAGTTAATGGGTACTAGGGGAAAACAATTCATCTTCACAGTTTTCCCAGGATTTTTTTTATAATCTAGTATGTTACATATTTCTGACTAAACTCACTAATTCTTATGTTACTAACTTCATTTCTTTGAGGATCTCATCGATAAGCTAAATTCCAGGATTATACACAAATAACACTGGAAATATTTCACCAAGGAGAAAATCAATCCTAAATTTATTTATTATAGTCTCACTTCAGTGAGCTGGTCATTGTATGGTATTTTCTGAGCACAAGTGGTCTTCACTGATCCACCTAATCTGTTCTTTTGAACTATACTGTAAAGAGCCATTTTGTCACCTGGAGCAAGTAGCACAAAATATGTCCTCATATTAATATTTTAAGAAAAAGGTGAGGGAAGGAGAAACTTTAGGGATAAAACTCCTTGTGAAGGGACTGATCTTGGCACATTCATGTTTTCATTCTACAAGCATTTATTAAATTTAACTTGTGTACAAGGCACTATGTTTGCTACTGGGATATAAAGACAAAAAGAAATAGTTCCAGCCTTCAAGTTTTCATTCTACTGGAGGGAAATGAAATGTAAATAGATAAATCAGAAGCTACTACTGAGAAGGCCTCCATTGAGAGGAGTGGAGAAGGATGGCAGAGCTAGGATGAGGGATGCTAGCCAACAGGAGGAAGTGTGCTTCCTCTTAATTTTTTTGTTCAAATCTGTGATTTCATTAGTATAGGGATCTCCTGATGAAAAAAAAATGCAAATCAGCAATTATTCTGTAACTTATAATTGAGAACTCCCTTAGGGTACTAATAAGTTGTTGCTTATCCAGGGTCACACAGTCAGTGGATGTCAGGGGAAGAACAAGAATCACAGTTTTCTGACTCAAAGGCCAGTCTTCTGTATATTGGACCATTGACCTCTATTTCTATTTTAACTAATTATTTTTAGTAACTAAGTGCTAAGCTTAGTTGTTGTTGTTACTTTTTTATTATAGTCAAGGGAGGCAGGATTTGTCAGTAAGCTTTACATTGCCTGCCATGGGCCAAAGAGATGGTTGTCCTACCTTAACTACAGTTCTGCTCTTGAATCATAATTTTATTTTCCTTCTGTGTTTCTCTCAGATGCTGTCTCCTTTGACCAAGAATCTCTTCCACCGGGCCATTTCCCAGAGTGGGGTTCTCTTTATGGAATCTCTGTTCAGTTCCAACATCAAACCAGCTGCTGAGGTAGGTTCCTTTTATTACATGCTGTTCCAAAAACTTGTTTCCATTTATATACTTAGAGGAGTTAAAGCTGACAGGGACACTGGAAAACAACTAGTCTGACCACCTCAACTGAGGCTCTGAGTGGGGAAGTGACTTACACATATCATGTAGGAATCAAGGGACAAAGCCAGAATCTGACCTCAAGTCTTCTGACTCCAAATTCAGCACATTCTCCATACACCAAGTTGTTCCACATCCAGGCACACCATGGTTTGGATAGATCTATTCTATCCACATAGGATAGTAGCAAAAAAGTGTTCCTTGTTTTATTTTGTTGCAGAAAATAGCCACCTTTTCTGGATGTAAAACAACTACATCAGCCGTCATGGTTCACTGTATGCGGCAGAAGACAGAGGAGGAGATCCTAAATACAACTCAGAAGATGGTAGGTGATCTTAAAACTCTTATCTCCTGCCCTTGAACAATTTTCACTGTGTTTGATCATTTCAGTCTCTCAGGTTCCCCAAAAGGACATGAATTGTCTCCCTTGGCTGAGATTCTCTGATCTTCAGAATTATAGGTAGCTATATTTTGTTGGGCAGGGAAGTGAGGGTGTTTTCATTAGAGGCAATAGTTGGCAAATCATGGCACTAAGTGGAAACAGAGAAGACTACTTCTACAAACCTCAATATTATGGGGGTGCAGTGAAGAAATGCCATGGGTAGAGGTGGGTTGCTGCTTCTCACTAGGAAAGAATTTACTTCCTACAATGCAATTAGCATACCATCTAGTAGCTTCCTATCTTTTCCATTTATTTTTGTTAACTGGATGCTAGCCTTGCTTGTTTCTTAGTTGAAGGATGCTAAGTGTTATAAACATTATCTAAATTATGATTTTTTTAAAAAAGTCATTTCCTTATCTTACACTCCAATTAGCCTTATAGCTCCACTTTTAAAAAAAGTCCCTTCAACTCATCCTAGTTAATTTGAAAATAATCTAGTCATGATCTGGTATCTGAGTTTAATTTCTGATGTCCATCTGCCTGATCTCAAGGGTCTAGGTTAGAAGAGCTCTTGAGGTTCTCTATACTCTTTGATACCATACAGTCAAGTATTTCTGAGAATTTGTTCTTATAATGATGACTAAGGTAAGGAAGGAGGCAGAGCAGTTGCCTTTAGACCCTGAAATTTCTGAGAACCTGATGGGTTGTTGCTTTCCTTGGAAAAAGGGATATTTACCACATGGGCTATCCTCCCAGGGATTTCTCTGACTTTCTCCATTAAGTCAGTCTGACCTGGGACTAAGATTGCGTCCATACATGAAGAACAAAATACAACCTCGGGATATTTATTTAGATTCACTGAAGTCCCAAAAAACTGGGGAGATTGCCCAGGCAAGTGAAGCCAAAGTAGTTTGTCGGGCCTGGAATGACTTGCATAATTGCTACAATTCTCTGCTTTGTACATATGGAACCAGCTTGTTAGGGACTGACTGAAAACTTAGATCTTAAGTTCTTGGGTGCAGCCTTTTGACTGAGTCCAAGTATTACAGAACAAATCCTTTTATTAAAGGGATTTGTTCTCTGAAGTTTGGATTCAGTCAAAGGGCTACACTTAAGGAGTCAGAGGGCCACATGTGGCCTCGAGGTTGCAGGTTTCCCATCCTTACTTAGGAGAGTTCAGAGATTGTAGTGATGTAGAGCAAGGACCAGGCCCTTCTGATGTGTTAAAAATGCAATGATTAAACTCTTCCTATGTGATTTTTGGGAACATTGAAATAATTTCCACCAAATACAATCAAATACAAATGTAGGCTTATATGAATAGGTGACACTGTCCTTTCCCCCCAATTTTTTTTGGATGGAGGCAATATGTTCTGGGGAGTAGGTATGGGCTATGAAAGATTACATATTAAAATTTTTGAGAAAAAGTGCCAGCACTTTTGTTTCTAGGACAGTTTACCTGACTTATATTTTTTTTTCCTAAAGGATGGGTTAGGGTGAGGTAAGAGGAAGAAGCACTTGAGGTTATGACTCCAAGCTTAAGTTCCTAGATACCCTGTTACTCTTTTTGTGGCTCTTATGTCTCAGCTTTGCCAGGATATATAGGGGCCCAGAAGCCCTATATAAGGCTTCTCTGAGGATCTTCTTGAGAATGCTATGAGAATGAATCTGATTATCAAGGGAAGTGGCAAGAACAGCTCTTTCTGGGAAGTCTTTTCTCCCACCTTTCTTTTGTTTGCCTTCACAGGATTTATTCCACCTGAATTTCCAAGGAGACCCCACAGAGGTAAGGCATTCTTATTATCTTAATTGCTGACTTCAACTGTTGGCTCATTTAAGCTCTAGTTAAGCATAATGGGGAGCTAAGTGGCACAATGGATAGAATGCCAAACCTGGAGTCAGGGAGATTTACCCTTGGGGATTGTTGGGGAAACCAATTATATTGAAAAACAGTTATCAAAATATTAAAAATAAATTCATTGATGACAGGTTAAGAACTCTTGATAGAGCTTTGTATCACTTCAACTTTCCTTCCATACTAAAATAGTCCTGAAGATGAGGATGGCCAAAAGAAACTTTGTGCATCCAAATTACTCAACTTAAGGTTGAAAAATATTCTAGAATGGGGAAATACTTGAGCTAGGCCAATGATACCCTCTACACTTCTCAAATTAAAGGCCAAGGCTCTAGGCAATGAAGATCAATATCAATCTCATTAATCTCTCATATATCTTTTATACCCTATGAGGAGATGCTTGTAACTGCTATAGAGGGTCTTTGCTTTGGACTAATTATTAAATGGAAAGTGTTTAGGGTGACTGGCTATCTGAGAATCCAGACCTTGTCCACTTAGTTCAACAGTAATCAAGGTTCTCCCTAGCCCTACCTTTCTCATCACCATCACTTTAAAGCTAATTGCCCCCTTAGATAATTAAACATAAAGATTCTATAAGCTTGTATTTTCTTCAATCTCTTCCTAAAATTCTACCTGCTCCATGGAGACCTCTTGGACAATTACTCCATCATAATAAATTCCCTCCAACCCCACAATTTCTATGTACAGACTTTTGAATCATTCTAGCTCCTCACTCCACAACTGTATTAATCTCTGGTTTGTACATGATGTAAATATTTTTTTTTCTTTTCTTGAATCAGTTACCTTATTAAACTGAAAGTCTATTTGTATAGTCTGGCTTGCATTGGTAGTAGTATGCTATCATGGAAAGTATCCTGGGTTAGGAATTAGAAGAACTGGGATTAGTCTATAAGTCTCCCCTCGGAGCCTCAATTTCTTCAACTGTAGAAGAAAGAGATGCAGAGTTGCTTTTTTTTTTTACTTTATAGATAAAAATAAAAGATTCTTAAGGGCAAGGACTATTTGAGTTATGACTTTAGCATATGCATATATAGCACATATTTATAGGTACTTGATAAATACCTACAGAATATAATATTTGGTGAATAAGAAGGTTAGACTACATGATCTTTCAGGTTCCTCAAAGTTCCATGTCCTGTGATTTCTATAACCCCTTTGAACCTCATGCTCCTCATTTGCAAAATAATGGGGTATAAGAATCTACCTCTAAAGTCTTATGAGAACCAAATGAAAAAATTTGTGTTGATGTGATTTGTTAATGAGAAGGTGATTTACTTATACCATGAACAATTTTCTTCCTTGATTCATGGAATCACAGAATTTATGAGCTGGGAGAGCCCTTAGTACTCTTCTGGTTCAATCCACCCCTGAAAAGAATCTTCACTATAATTTAACTGAAAAGTTATCATCTGACCTCTTCTTGAGGACCTATACTAAGGGGGAACCTACTACCAGCCAAGGAAGCCCATTCCAATTTTGGATAGCTGTAATTATTAAGAATTTTTACTGATATCTAAATGATTTCTTTGCAAATTCCACTCATTGTTTTTTATTTTACCCTCCTCTTCTACCAGACAGTTATTCATATACCACTAGACTCCCTCAAAGTCTTATCTATTGCAAGCTAAATATGTCCAGTGTCTTCAACCAATTTTTATATGATATTGATTTAAAGTCTTTTACAATTGTTGTTGTATACCCCCTAGCTTCCCTTAAACTCATCAATGTTCTTTGTAAACTATGATATATGCAACTGAATAAAATACTCTAGAAGATGTGTGATGAGTGTACAGCTCCCTGTTTCTGGAAACTATGCTTCTCTTTATGCAATCCAAGATAACACTACCTTTTTTGGTTTCCACATCTTTCTGCCAACTTCTATCGACCTTGGAAAAAAGTCTTCAGGCCTTTTCAGATAAACTGCTATCTGACCATACCTTCTTCACACTGTATTTTGAAATTTATTTTTGGATACAAGTGAAAGATTTTACATTTGTCCCTGCTAAATTTGATTGTGTTAAATTCAGCCCAGTGCTCTAGACTAGCCTCTCAAGATATTTTTGAATCTTGACTATTATCTCATGCGTTAGCTTTCCTTCCTATCTTAGGATAATCCACAAATTTCACATCCCTGTCATAAATCCTTTTATCCAAATCCTGAATAAGAAGAGAATAAACAGAACAAATCCAGGTACTGATCCTTGCAGTACTCCTGTACTGGAGATCTCCTGCCAAGATTACATTGAGTGATTGACAAATTCTCTTTGAGTCTGGTCATAGAATCAGTTCCAAATTCATCTAATTATATTATCATCTGGTCTACATTTCTCCATCTTTCCCACAAGAAGAGGATAAGATGCCTTATCTTATGTTTGGCTAAAATCAATGGATAGAATGCCAGGCTTGGAATCAGGAAGACTCATCTTCCTGAGTTCAAATCTGGCCTCAGATATTTACTAGCTTCATGACCCTGGGCAAGTCACTTAACTCTGTTTTCCTCAATTTCCTCATCTGAAAAATGAGCTGAAGATTGGTGATGGCAAACCACTCCAATATCTTTGCCAAGAAAACCCCAAAAAGGGTCACAAAGAGTTGGGTATGACTGAACAAGAACAAGAGAGTAAACTCTATCTATAGCATTCCTATCATCTCCAAATATAGAAACCCCGTGAAAAATGTCTGATAAACTAAGATGATTGGTCATCTTAATGTGGCCATGATGGATGTTTTATCAGCTCTTCGTTTGTTAACCATCTCCTTAATAATCCATTCTAGAATTTCTCAAGGAATGGAAATCATTCTCATTGTCCTATAATTTGCAGTTCTTTTCCATTTATTAAAAAAAATAGGACTACCTTTTCACTTCTCTAGTTCTACAATACCTCTCCTATTATCCCCAAACTTTCAAATATCACTAACAATGGCTTAGCGATCTGATATTCTAGTTCTTTCAGTACCCAGTGTTATTGTTCTTAGGGACCAGATTTTTTCACTTTGTTAGGGGTAGTAGCCAAATGTTCTCTTACTTTCTCTTTATTTCTCTCCAGTACTTTTCTCAGTATTCTTTCACTATTAGCCATCTTTTTCTGCCATTTTTAGTGCAAAGGTCATTCTCCTTGGCAGAGAAAACAAAAGGAAAACAATAATTAAATACCCTTTCCCTCTATTTTTAGTTATTATCATCCCAACCACTCTAAGCAGCTGTTCTAGCCATCTTCTAATTCCTCCCTTCCCTGGTGTAGCTTCAAATACCTGCTTAGTTATTTATACTTTTCTTCACTGGCCTTAGCTTCTTATAAACTTTATCACCTTTGAAACCATTTTTTGTTCTGAAGACCATAGCAAATTACTTGCTATATTACTCCTATTACCTGATCTTGCTTTTACTTCTTTACACATTAAAAAAAAAAAAACAACTCAAAATTACTAGTGTTTCTCTGTGTATCCACATCATCTCTTCAAGTATCTTCAATTTTTTTCTACTCATTGGTTTTGCCTCTCTTTGTATATTTAGAATTTTATTACTGAGGGTATCTCATACTTTCTGGACTAAGGTCCCCTGTAGAATTTTAGTTTCTACCTATGTTTCTTTTTTAATTTATTGAATAAAATAAGCATTTCCATAATATCATATAATAACAAAGATTGCACATCAAATTGCAGATCTATCATGTACAACTTGATATTCCTTTTAAATACATAATAGAATTATCATGCAAATTTCTTTTTTCCCCCTTTTTTTCTCCCATCCTTCTCCCAGAGATGACTATCATTAGACACAATTATGTATACAGACATGCACAGATGTAAAATCATTCTATACAAAATTTGGAGTTTTTATAGGCCTACTCCAAGAAGCTTCATTTACAGAGGCAAAACTTACAATAGTGAGATGGTTATAGACTCTCTGCATTTTGCCATGGGTAGACCACACCTAGAGCACTTTGTTCACTTCTAGGAATGATCATTTATTAGGAAAATCAACAAACCCAAGATTTTTTTCAGAGAAGGGCATCCAGGATGGTGAAGGTCCTCTAGCTTATACCACAGAGATTTGGATTAAGGAATGGTCAGCCTAGAAAAGGAAATACTCAGGACAATTATGGTAGCTGTGTTCAAGTAGTTTATGGGCTCTCTGGTGGGAGAGCATTTTTTTTTTTTAGTTTGACCCCATAGACCACATCTAAGAGCAGTGGGAAGAAGATGCAGAGGCACCTTTAAGCTTGACATAAAAGAAAATTACTTAATAATTAGGACTATTCAAAAGTGCAATTAGCTGGTTGCAAATGTAATGAATTCCCCCTCATTGGAAGTATTCTGATGACTCCTGGATGGGCATTTGTTGGATTTGTTATAAAGGACATACCAGTTAAAGTATGCATTTGATTAGATAACATCTTCACTCTTATTACAAATGCTCAGCTCTGAGATTTTATAACTCTGTGGCAGGACAGACAGAACAATTAGAATGCAATGCACACTTGGTTGATTAAATTTTAGGTAATATACGAATGCTATGACACCAGATCATTATTGTGTGTTTTGTTTTTAATTTCCTCATAATCCTGTGAGGTACATAATACAAGGATCATCTTGTTTTAGAGATGAGGAAATTGAGATTTAAAGAGAATAAATGATATGTCCATGTGAGTTGGCTGGAAATGTTGGGGTCATGGATCAAATTTTAGCCTTCTCACTTCAAGTTGAGGGTTTTTTTTCCACATCCAAATAAATGTTAAGTAGCTTTCAAAGAGAGAGAAATCCATGTAAACTAGAATAAGCAGGGAAGGCTTTATGGCATAAGTGGCACTTAAACTTGACCTTGAAAAGAAGAGGAAACAATGTATTATCATCCAATAATTACTTCACCCCATACAGAGTCAAGATAACACTTTATAAAGGATGAGTTTTAATACACCTGTCCTTTCCCACATACAAGCTGCTTCTCATACTATCTACTAAACTGACTTTATATATGTTCTGATCCATTGTGTTGAAATCAATTGTAAAAAAGTCAAAAGTAATTGACCAAGAAATAATTAATTCATTGGCAAATTAAAGACATTGTCTATCAATATCCTTGTGATTTGGACAACCAGAGTAAAGTTGCAAGTCCTTTTCACTGCTGACCTCACCAAAGGATGCTATGACTCTGTCCCTCCATAAACAATAGAGAAATAATATAAAAATGAAATTATTCTGGGTCAGGGAAAGAAACTGACTATGTTACTATTTTTTTCTCCCAGAAATTTCTCTTCCTACCTGCAGTTGTGGATGGAGTATTTTTCCCCAGAAGTCCCAAGAAGCTCTTGGCTGAAAAGAAGTTCAAGCGCATTCCCTACATCATGGGAATCACCAGCCATGAATTTGGTTGGTTTCTTCCAAATGTAAGAGCATTGTATTTCTTCTGGAATCTTGTCTTCTCCTTATCTCTCTAGAACCAAGAATTCATCCACCCCAGTTAAATCTTCAGTGTGCTTGGCCTTCTCCGAAGAGTTGGTTTACTGTTGATTCTGGGTTAACAACCCTGCACTTCTCTCCCCTGGGACAGGACTCCATTTCCAAGGAAATATTCTAGGCAATTGCTATATTGTTGCAGAGGCAAAGCTGGTCATCTACCACTCTCACACCCACAGAATCTTAGAACATTGGAGCCGAAAGACATGAAGTCCAAACCTCTCATCTTTCAAATTAAAAAACTAAGGTCCATAGAAAAGAAGAGATTGTTTCAGGGTGATTCAGTGTCTATGATAACAGGACAAAGCTTAGAGCTCATGTCTTTTTTCACTTGGTGTCCCTCCTTACCCCATAAGGAATGCTGTGCCTTTATCCTTCCTAGAATTTTCTTCCCAATAAAATTAGAGAGGTTTTGTATGAAATCCTGGGTTTGACTCTTCCCATCTCCACAAATGTGGAACCAATATGGTATTGTGGGAAGAGCATCTGATCTAGGATCTGCACACATGGGTTTGAATCCTGGCTCTGATACTCACTACTAATATGACTTTGCACAAGTCACTTATTGCTCTTCTGTGAACTTCAGTTTTGTTTTTTTTTTTTTTTTATCTGTAAAATGAGTTGGTTGGACTAGATTTAGGAGTCTTTCAGCTAACTCATTCAGACATAAGTGATAGCTATATTCATATATAAATGGTTCAAAATTACCTCAACAAATGCCATCTGCATATTAACAAGGAGAATTCTAGTAATCTAAAGGAATGTGGTTCTCATCTCATCTCCTTTCAGGTCTGATTTCTAGGTAAGCTATAATGGTTAAGAATCTAGAAACTTATAATTGGCCAACCCTCTAAGTACTATGGGAATCCCAGTTTCAATGGATGCTTCTGACTGCTGGGTAGATGTGGGGCCTGTCCTTTTCAGGATTTGAGAAATATTTTTGTAATCTTTTTTATTCTTGTGATGTCCTGGAACACTTTGTAAGTCATGTTAATCTATTGAATTAATCAAACTCATTAGAAAACTTTACTTCAAAGCTAAAAGTAGAATAAAAACATTTTCCTTATTTGTATCATTTAGACAACTTTTCTTTTCCCATTAACCGTTAACGTGTTGTGTAAAATTTCATTTTTTGTGCAGATTCTGGGATATCCTATATTAGAGGATGAACTGGAGCAAGCAAAGGCCACGGAACTATTATGGCATTCTTACCCACTTCTTGTAAGAAACCTAGACCCATCAAATATCTAGGATGGAATCTTAAAGCCCATCTAGTTTAATGTCCTCATTTGATAATCAGAGAAAATTGAGGCCCAGAGAAGGGAAACAGTTTCCCAAAAGTCAGACATCTAGTCTGTGGCAGAGCTAGGACTTAAACCCATGTCTCCTGATGCCCATTCCAGTATAATTTCCACTGCAACATTATGTTTTCAATCCCAGAGAAAGCAATCAAAGAACAAAGTAGTTTAACTTGGAATTGTCTCCTTGGGTTAGAAAATGGAAACCTTTGATGTGGTCCTTCCACCTCTATGGTAAAGACCAATGAGAGAATGCATGAAGTGAATTTATCACATCTTCTCTACCCAACAACTCCACCAATTTGGGAATATTCTTGTCCACCTTGCAGGCAGTGCAATAGCATATTATTTATACCTTTCTTAGGCATTTATCCAAATATACTTTACATTATGCTTATGTGTGTCACTGTTTTAACCCCTTAGATTATGAACTCTGTGAAGGCAGTATGGGGGTAGTACTTGATCCATGATTTTATTGGTAGGGGATAATGCTAATAAGGAAAATTCTTCTACCAATTCAGGTTCACAACTTCTCTGCAGTTTATAGTCTTGGAGGAAATCCTAGAGCACTGAGAAGTTAAATAATTTGCACAATCACATAGCCAATATGTGACAGTTTCAGGATTTGAACCAGATCTTTATGGTTCGTAGCCCAACTCTCCATCTACTGTGTCACACTGAAGGAATTTGTCTAATTCATCTTTATATTCTGCAAAATGTCTAGCAAAGAGACCTAACACAAAGTAATAATCCTTCAAATAGTCATATTTTCTCAAATTTTAGTAATTTATTCCATAAATCATGATTTTAGATGAAACAGTTCTGAAGAAGTTAATCTAACAAGCAATATTATAAATGGATGATTTGCTTGAAGAATTTTAGCTGAGTTTCATAACATATTGAAGCTTGTTTATAATGCAATGACAATGTTATTGTGAGAAATTCTACTTGTGGCAACATTAAATAAGACATCAAGACAATTAAGAGATAAGCTAATAGGTGGATGGATAGATTAATTGATAGATAAAGAAAAAAGAAATGAAAGAATGAATATTCCATCACTTTTCACTTCTTGCTTCATTGGCCATTACAGAAAATCCCCAAAGAACTTACTCCAATGATAACTGAAGAGTATCTTGGAGGGACAGATGACCCTGTCAAAAAGAAAAGCCTATTTCTGGAAATGCTAGGAGACTTGACATTTTGGATCCCAACTGTGATTTTAGGTCAACTTAACAGGGGTGAGTTTTGAGGGAATATGAGGGAAGGGGGTGGTGATAAAGCCAGGGATATCCCTTTTAGCTTTTAGTCAAAGATATCAGATGATTCTGGAGTTACTTTGGAAAGACTCTACCTAGAGACAGATTAGATAGCTGCCTATGTAATGAAAAGAGTACTGGGTTTTGAAGACTAAGGTTCAAATTTTTCCTACATGAAAAGAAAATGTATAGTACAAAGACATGAAATATGATGGAGACAGATTTTGAGTAGATACCATTATTCAGTCTGCTGATTTGTTGGTCAGCTGGGAAGGGCAGTATGATGATGGCACCTGTTGCATGGAAATCTAGATTGAGCTGCCTTTATTAAGCTGAAACTGGATATCTATATATTTGGCATGATACCAAAGGGATTTACATATGAGATAGAAGATCATACAAGATGATCTCTATGTTTGTAGCCAATTCTAATTTTCTATGATCAGGAAGGCAGATTCAATGAACTACCATAGGATAGACAGTAATCTTAGGAGAAAAAACACACCTCCTTTCATTTTGGCCATCATTCTGTACACTTCTCTTGGTACCTCTACTTATATTAGGTTCCCAGGACCTATGTTTTCCAATTGTTTAAAATAATGTCTCAGAATATAATCTTTTTTTAGCTTTCCAAAGATTATCCAGAATGGTCCATTTGTGATAAGGGACTCATGAATTCTCCTCCATTTTCTTTCCTTTCAGATTCAGGTGCACCCACTTACTTGTATGAATTTCAACATCGGTCAAGTGTTTGGGGAAACTTGAAACCAGCAACAGTCAAGGCAGACCATGGGGATGACATTTTTTCTGTCTTTGGATCTCCATTTTTAAGAGGTAATGAATCTTTGCTTGCTACAAAAGCTTCACTAAAATGTTACCTTTTGGCCATTTTTGAAAGGTAATTTTTAGTCCTTACATATGTTCAACTTCTTTAGGTTATTGAAGTGCCTTTCTATTATTATCTCATTTGGTTCTCACAACACCTCTGTGGGGTAAAAAGGATGATGTATTATCTCCAAAATATAGAGATTCCTGTGTCACAGAGAGTGAAATTACTTACCCCAGATTCATGATGGATCTGGAACTAGAACAAACATCTCTGTTTTCCAGCCTCAGACTTATACTAAGGTCAATTCCCTAAAACTCAAGTGTCACAACTGAACCAAGACATTTTCTTTCCCTGAGGAAGTGATGCTAGACCACATTGACAGTAGCATGGTGATTAGGATAAAAGATCTGATAGTCCTGCTTTACTCACTCCTGGTCAGACTATATCTGTTATATCCTGTTCAGTTCTTGGCAGCACCATTTAGAGAGTACATTGACAACATAGAGAACATCAAAAGTAGAGTAACCAGATTGGGGAGGTCATTTAAGACCATGCCATTTGAGAATAGTTAAAGAATCAGTCAATGTTTACTTTGAAGGGGAGAAGACTTTGCAAGCAAATGATGGAAAGCTATTTTCAAGAACATATAGTAAAAGGTTATAATATGTGATTAGATTTGCTCTGCTTGGGTAGAACCAAATGCAATGGATAATATAACAAAAAAATTGGCTACCTGAATGCATTCCTGTTCTGTCTCTTAAGGTAATGAGTTATTCATCACCAAAAGTCTTCAATCAGAGTTTAGATGACCACTTATTAGGACATCAAGGTTTTTCCTGTTCTGAATGAGTTGGATTAGATTGAATCTGAGATCCTTTCTAGCTCTGAGATTCTCTTATGATGAGCAGTGGAGAATGCCACAATTATTCCAGATAGTTCTACTCCAGGAGTTTGATTCTCTTTGATGGCTCCTCTGCTTTCAAAGATACTGGCAATGAGGTCAGGAGAGCAAATGATGACATACTTTTGAAGAATCTCTGTGCTTCAAAGTCAAAAAAACCATCAGTGCCCTCAGATTTCATGACATGAGCATTTGACTTCCTCTCCTTCCATCTTGAAACTTTTGCCTTGCTACTTTCCCCTAGTTTTCTATCCAAGTACAGTGCTGTCCAAGGAAAATGTACAAAAAAAGTGCACTGTTCAATGTAAAGGATAGGAAGTCTGGAGGAAGAGAGGACTCCCAACTGGAAATAACAAAAGAGAGTGGAGGAGAGAGGATGAATTAAGGGAAAATGGGAGAAATATTTGGGAACTTTTTAAAACACGCAATCGGATTTTGCAAGTAGAATTATATAAAACATTGAAGAGGTGACAGGAGAAGATTCCACTCAAACTTCATTTTCACATACACTAGTCAAAGGTGAGAAGAACACACAAGAATTTGGTGTAGCAAAACATTCAATTCCACAAGGATATAGATAGGAACAGGAAGAGGGAAAGTATAATAAAAAAAAAAGGGATAGTATATTGAGGGAAAGATTAGTCATAAGCAAAAGAAACCTTAAGCTTAGAGAGATGATATTGAAGAATAAGTTAGAACAAGGGAAAAAGCAAACTAACTTGAAATGAACAGAAAAAGAAGAGAATGCAGAAGAAAAATATAAGAAAATAGAATGGGAGCGGGATACGCAATTAGCTATAATAGTTTTGAATGTGAATGGGATGAACTCACCTGCAACACATAAGAATTTAGCAGGAATCTGAAAGCAAAATCCAACAATAGTTGTTTAAAAGAACATTTGAAACAGAAAGACTAACACAGTTAAAATAAGGCATTGGACAAAATCTATTATGCATCAACAGTCAGGAGTGGGGGACCTGCGGCCTCAAGATCACCTGTGGCCCTGTAAGTCCTTAAGTGTGACCCTTTGACTGAATCCAAACTTCACAACAAATCCCCTTAATAAAAGCATTTGTTCTGCAAAACTTGAAGTCAGTCAAAAGGCCATACCCAAGGACCTAGAAGGCCACATGTGACCTCGATGCCATAGGTTCCCCACCCCAGCCAGATGAATGCCACACACACAAACATACACATACACAAACACACATGCATACAAACACATGAAAAACAGAGGTAGCAGTTATGATCTCTTACAAGGCAATGGCAAAGATATAGTTGAGATGAAGAAAAGTACATTTTGCTGAAAAGTAACATATACAATGAATTTTTTTCTACATTTAAAGTATGAACCCAATATCAAAGCTCATACATTCTTAAAGTGAAAACCAAATGAATTATAAAGATAAATAGACAGTAAAACTATAATACTGGGAGATATCAATTTACCTCTATCAGCCCTATACAAATTTAAGCAAAAAATTAAGAAAGAAGTTAAAACATGAACAGAATTTTAGAAAAATTAGATGTGATAGAATTTTAATGAATATTAAAAGGCTATTCACAGCTTTACAAAAATTTATCATATCTTAGGACATAAAACTTCACAAACAAATACTGAAAAAGCAAAAATATTTTAAATATCCTTTATTGATCATAGTGCAATACTATTATATTAAATACAGAATCATGGATAGAATTATTCGAATCAACTGGATACTATGTAAGTTAAACCTAAACAATTGTTGAGTCAATGAACAAATTATAGAAATGATTGGAAATTTTATTAAAAACAATGACATCAGTGAGACAACATACCAAAACTTTTAATATTGAGTCAAAGTAATTTTTTTTTGCTTTTTGGTGAGGCAATCAGGGTTAAGTGACATGCCCAGGGTCACACAGATAGTAAGTGTTAAGTATCTGAGGCTGGATTTGAACTCAGGTCCTTCTGGCTCCAAGGCCAGAGCTCTATTCACTGTGCCACCTAGCTGCCCCAAGTTAAAGTAAGTTTGGAAGGAAATTTATATGTCTAACCACTTTTATTAATAATAAATGAAACAAATCAGTGAATTGACAATGCAACTAGAATACTAGAAAACTAGACAAAATTAAAATCTCAAGTAAGTACTAAAATAAGAATATGAACATTTAAAAAAAGTAAAAATAAAAACTAAGATATTTAATTGATATTGCATAAAAGTATAATAAAAATTTTTGCACAAACATCTGAAAAAATTAAGACTAAAGGGCAAATAATTAACTGGAAAAGAAACCTTTGAGGCAAATTACCCTGACAAATTTTTCATTTCCAAGATACATAAAAAAATCAATTAAAATTTATGAGAAAAGAGTCCATTCTCCTATAGATAAAGGGTCTAAGGATATGAACAGACAATTCTCAGGGGAAGAAGCCTAGGCTATTTTTAACCACATGAAATAATGTGCCAAATCACTACTAGTTAGATAAAGGCAAATTAAAGTAATTCTGAGACTCTACCTCACAGTCATTTAAGTGGCAAAAATGACACAAAATGAAAAGAGAAAGGATAAAGAAGGGAATTTAGTAAATGGATGTATGTGTATTGTTACTGAACTTGTGGATACATACAACCAATCTGGAAAACAGTATGAATTATTAAAAATAATTTCTGTTTGCCTATGCATATTTCTTAAAAAGAAATTTGCTCCTCCTTTTCCCAATGGGGTGGCATTTAATAGGGAGAAAAAAAATACAAATTTGTTAATTTTTTTAAAAAGAGAAATATGTATGTGGTGAGAGCAGTGGGGTTGCTACAGATGTAATATGTTGAATGAACTTTTACTGTATTAATGTTTTTGCTAAACTGTTTTAATATTACAAGGGGCTTCTCAATAAGCCAGAATAATTTGTAAATGTTGGAAGGTAAAAACAAAACATGAATCTATCTTTTAAAGGAAACAAGTTGTGAAAGCAAAGCAAAGTGGAGTGGGCACTGAAGATAAACTTCACAGTTCTGTTCTTTAACATATACTAGTCACATTCTGATATCTGTAATTCTCATTTTCAGATGGTTCCCCAAAAGAGGAGAAGCAACTTAGCAGGATGGTGATGAAATATTGGGCAAACTTTGCCCGGAATGGGTAAGACTAGTAATGAAGAGGGAAATATTTTTCAAAGAATTATTGATACATTTTATTTTTACATCATCTACATTTCCTAATTTATCTCTCCTTTTCCCCCTCTTACAAATATCCTCCTTTATAGCAAAGAATCAAAAAGGAGAAATGTTTTTTAGCAAAATTAGCCAACATATCAACCATATCTGACATTTGATGAAGAATTTCATACTCATGTTCCCTCACTTCTACAAAGAATGGAGAGAAGTACATTCTCATCTCTTCTTTGGACTAAGGATTCAGTTTCATATTGTTCATATGGTCATTACTCTTTCCATTTACATTGTTGAAGTTATTGTGCATATAATTTTGCATAATTTTATGTCTTTCTACTTTATGTACATTTATCATATTTTTATTTCTTATAGCTCATTAATATTCCATTCCATTCCATTCAAATAATGCAATATATTCAGGTATTCTCCAATTGATTTCAAAATATGGACTTTCCCATCTAGGCCTTTACTACTACAAAAGTGCTTCTATAAACATTTAGATGTATGTAGGACACTTATCTTTACCACTGATCTTTTTTTTCTTTTTTTTTTTTTGGTTAGGCAATGGGGTTAAGTGACTTGTCCAGGGTCAACAGCTAATAAGTTTTATGTGTCTGAGGTCGGATTTGAATGCAGGTCCTCCTGAATTCAGGGATAGTGCTCTATCCATTGTGCCACCTAGCTGCTCTTACCACTAACCTTCTTGGAGCATGTGTCTAAGAATAAGGTTCTGAGTCAATGGATATGGACATTTAACTCCTGTTATTTCTGTTTCCTGAATGGATGAGCTAATTCATTATTTGCTCAATAGTGAATTAGTTTGGCTATCCTTCCACAACTTTGTTTAGTCCAACATTGAGTATTCTCTTTTGTCATCTTTCCAGTTTGCTGGGTATCAGGTGAAATATCAGGGTTGCATGATTGTATTTCTCTTTTTTACTAAATTTGTTAAAAATTTTCAGTTCCTAATTTTCTCATTTCTACTTTTCCTCTTCCACACATAAAGAAAGCAAAAACCTCAAAACTCATTGCAATGTAGAATTAAGTAAAACAAAATCCTGCATTAACCACATCCCAAAAAATGATGTCTCAATTTTCAGTATGGCTTCATCCCTTCTTTAACTGGAGATGAGTACCATGTTTCATCATGCATCCTCTGGAATTATGGCTCATTCTTGTGTTAATAAGAATTCCCAAATCATTCAAAGATGTTTGTCTTTGCAATATTATTATTATGTACATTTTCTCTAGGTTCTACTGTGTTTACTTTGTATTTGTTCATACAAGTCTTCTCAGACTTTTTTGAAACTGTCTCCAGCATTTCTTGCAATGTAATATTACTCCATCACATTCACGTACCATAACTTGTTTCACTATTCCCCAATTAAGAGCACTCCCTCAGTTTCCAATTTTTTGCCATCATGAAAAGAGCTGATATATATATTTTTTAACAAGTGTTTTTAAAACTTTGGATTACAAATTTTCTCCCTTCCTCCCTCCCCACCCGCCCTCATTAAAAAGGTAAGTGTATCAATACAGGTTATAGATATGTAGTCATGCAAAACACTTCCAGAGTAGTCATGTTGTGAAAAACTGAGTCTATTTCCCTTCATCTTATCCTACCCCCTTTATTCTATTCTCTCTTTTGACCCTGTCCCTCCTCAGAAGTGTTTGCTTTTGATTATCCCCTCCCCCAATCTGCCCTCCCCTCTATCATCACCCTGCTCTCTTGGCCTCTTCCCCCCCAATTTTCCTATAAGTTAAGATATATGTCCATACCCCATTGTGCATGGGGTATAAGAATAAGATTCACTTATTCCATCTCACCTTCCCCCCTTTCTGCTCCACTGTAAAAGCCTTTTCTTGTCTGTTTCATGTAAGATAACTTAGCCCATGCTACTTCTCCCTTTCTCCTTCTCCCAGTATAGTCCTCTCTCACCCCTTAATTTTATTTTCCAGATATCACCCCCTCATCATCAACTCACCCTGTGCCCTCTATCTATCTATCTATCTATCTATCTATCTATCTATCTATCTATCTATCTATCTATCTA